AATGCTGCACAGCGCAGATCGGTGAATGGAAACGGTCAGCTCTCACGCGTACCGTACACCGGGAATGTGCCTGACGAACCCGAAACTCCCAGCGATGACCGATCGACTTTTTCGAGCACGTTTTTTTATTGACAGCACGAACCAGTAAATGACAGCCGGTTTCGTAAGTGGCCCGAGTACCCCGCGGTTTTTGTTCGGTGAGACAAAACAATCACCGGGTCGTGCGGGCGCGAATGATCGACAACGAGGCCGTCTTATGACAAGGGGGTCGTTGGGTCGTCGGGTCGTCGCTGTCAATTAGCAGACGGCGACGTAGCCGTTACCGAGATGGCGAAAAAACTTACTCGCTCCAAACGGACACACAGGGGGTACAGGCGGGGCCATCGACTGGCCGAAGCAGCACCAGAGCAGTGCAGCGCACACGTTGAAAGCAAACTACGACCTAAAAGAAAAATGAGACACGGTTACACGATTTGCGAGATTAAATCTCGACCGAATTCTTCGACAAATGAAACCATTTTATTGTAATGTGCAGAGCTTTCAAGGACAAAGCTGAATAGAAGAAGAGCATTACCTGTCCCTCCTTCTCAGAGGCTGATTCGAGTGCCGGCGATTTATGCACAGAATAAGAGAGGTAAGTTTGAATCACTAAACCGTAAACCTGACAAATCAGGAACTTGGCGTACTGAACTGCTTGCTTTAAACGTGCGTTTAATTTTAGCGTTGAATTTCAAAGAACAACCGGTGCTGTGAAGTAAACTTGTCTGGTGCAATGACAATTGCATTTAACTTGACTAAAAATGTAGGGATGGAGGAGAGCACTGTCTCCAGACTGTATAATCTATGCATGCATCTTCATGCAACTTATCTCTGAATGAATAATTGTCTAATTATTATGCCTTTCGAATAGCCGATTTCGAATGCCAAGACCTGAATGTTGGGGGAGAGGGGGAGGGGCAGTCATTGTAAGAGAGGACTTCTAGCAACGGTAATTCAAGCATACCAAAATTTTAGAGAAAATAATAATTTCTTGGTATTAAAAACATCAGCGGTCACGTGAACATGTGTTTTAGTTTAGCCATAACTTCGAGCTCCCACGTAGACGTGCTTGGTTCGACTCTATGCAATCATCTTGTGTTATATCTATGTAACACCTATGCTTAAACGCTTTAGAGTCATACCCTCCTCTTAGGGTCTCCTTAGACATCTAGAAGCAGAGGGTGCTGCAAAAGGACCGTAAAATCCTACGCAATGACATGCATCGTCGTTCTCTAAGGCAGTGCTCGTATAAACCACAATTTTAAAGATATGGCTATGGGGCAGTCGAGCATCTCCTCATTTATATCTGGAGCACATTAAATATATTCATCCTGACCTCACATAACGTTAAAACTAAAGATTGCGTTTATTATTATGCTTTTCAGTTACTAACCCGTTCTTAAGAAAAGCGAACAATCGGGTCGTCTAACAAGTAGTCAGGCAGAATGTGTTCTCTTTAATTACTGTAATAGCCGTTATGAAAACTTGTAATGAACCGTCAGCTGGCTAAGTAGGAAGGCAGTAGTGCTGAAGTAGGCAGATGATATCACCCCTTTTTCAAAGAAATTCTGTGATACCCGCATTAACAAGAATTCTTCTACATGCCCATGTGTTTTATCGTGGAAATCTCAAATTTCAGGTGCAGGAATTTTATTAGCGAGTAAGCTTGATTGGAATTTATCTGTAACTGACAGATTAAAATATGAATATGTTTTAAGCAATATATCAGGTCATTTTTTATGTCATGTTCTTGTTGTAAAAGTGCGTTAAAGTTTTGTGTGTAGTGTTCTCTCGTACATAACATACTTGTTTAATGGATTTAATTTACGTCTTCTATACCATAGAGCAAGTGCCATCTCTGACCGTTTAGATGTACAGTCCGTTCAGGCCCATCAATTGTCAACTTTCATCATCTTCTTCAAAGAGTTGTCGATATGTTGAAAAGGCTTCAACGTGCTTTTTATCGCGGGAGGGGGGGGGCGGATTGGTTGGGTAATACATGCAGTGGCCCCAGTCCTTTTATCCAAGTTGATAGTCGGAGTGTGCTTCTACTGAGAAAATATTTCTTGAATGCATATCAAAGTACGTAAACTCCTGTTTAGTACTGCTGACCATCCAAACCGACTGTTTCAGATTTTGATACAGCTCATCAGGGTAAACATTCTGCACTGATTCATGTTGATGTGCCATCCCTTAATTCAACACTTATTCCTTCTCTACAAGGTCAACTTTGAGGTTGGATTTACGGGAAAGCTCGAAAAACAAGTTAAAATTCTTTAATTTCTGGTTTTATCGTGACTTTACCCTACTGTAATATTTTTGTACTCATCGGACATGTACATAATGTATAATTTAACATCACATATATATATTTCATATGAACAAAATATCTTGATGTTTCGGGTTTACTAGTGAATACTAGATTCTGTACCGCCGATTCTGTACTATACTACAATACATACATATATACATATACTATAATACATATATAGCCTCTCTGGATCTGCACATCATTAATTACACGTTCGCCTGGTTCTAAAATCTCAGACCACTTGCAACAGGCCACAGCTTTGTGGCACTGTAGCTGTGTTTGGCTGAACAAAGAATTCGCAATACCCCTTTGCTGCAAAGATATACAGTTTTTTGATCAGGATATGACTGCATGATATTATATCACCTGCAATGCATAGTGAAAAACGCATTATTGCCGTTCATAAATGGCCCTTAGGGACAGAGCGACTTTTAAAACTGGGCACGATGAACGTGATGGATAATGGTTATTAATACCGGCAGAGAAGAACACTAACTTTTGCCAAAAAACGAAATTCTGTTGGGCAGTAGTAATTAAATATGAAGATTTATTATTTTGATGTGATGTTTTTTACTTCTGACTGAAAACTGAACATTCCTCATGCTTTGTAGACAACGATGAGCCAGAAGGAGCTACGGGAAAATGCGTACCGCGTCGTAACGTATTTCGCCGTCACGTTCTGCATAGCTGCGATCATCAGTGCCGGCCTTTGCATCCCCCTCATGTACAGCCAAGTGAGTACGACACAACAGCAGTTTGAAATGGACACAAAAGCGTGTGAGGTAAAAGATACAAGCAGTTGACAAATTCTGCATCTAATTGTCTGGCTTTTTCAGGAGTCTTTCAACGTGATGAGGAAAAGAATGCTGGACATCAGAAAGTCACAGGAAAGACTAAATCGAACAACGAGACAATACAGAGGAGGCGGTGGTATCTCTGGCTTTCCGCCTGAAATCAGTCAGCCGGGATTTGGGCCTCCGCACATGTTTCCTGAACCGGGCCTTCAAATGGGACCTGGAGGAGGCGGAGATGTCATTTCCACGTTTCAGAAAGTTGGCACAGAGGGCTTGCCGATATGCCCGGGTATTCCACCAGGGCAGCCACCTATTGTCAGACCGGGTCGACTATTCTTGAACCCCTGGGGAGTAGATGGTAAAGAATTTGAGGAAATCGAGTAATTTTAAAAAGTTTTGCTTCTTAGCCTGCTGCATTCCGGGACCAGCTGGCAACCCTGGACCACCGGGCAAACATGGAGCTCCTGGAACTCCCGGTATACCTGGAATTCCAGGAAAGCCGGGTAGGTTATCGATCGAGACCTGCACTCCTCCGCCAGTTATCGAATGTCCGGTAAGCATGCTCAGCTAATACTGAAACTCAACGCAACTGAATTCATTTTGCATAGGCTTGCCCA